ACACTGGCTCTAGTTTAATCATGTTGTCGTTTTAAAGTGTTGACGATCTTCTAGTTATGACCTACAGAGCTTAAAGCTGAGGGACTGTTCCTTAAAACACCAATACACAAGAGAGATTTTGTGTAAATCCTCGAGGTAGTGTCATCAAATCACGGTTGCTGTAAATCCTGTGACACTGAAGTGAAAATCAACTACATAAAATCCATTCATGAGCGAACACAGCCGTGACAATCCTGTGCACATCTAGCGCACTTCACTCGTGTACATGAAACCCCACTTACAACTGTATCGAGGTGGCACAGTTTAGCTTACAGTATGTACAGTTGTATGACGGGTTTCATGTATGCGAGTGATGTGCGCTAGATGTGCACGGGATTATCACAGTTGTGTTCGCTCATGAGTGAATTTTATGTACTAAGCGCAACAGCTGCCTTGACAGAAGCCAAGTATTGATTGATATAATTTAATATTATTATCAAATTATAGTTTATATACAATAAATTCCCCTTGCTAGGTGACATAGCAATATTTAATTAAGATTTTCATTAAGTACTAGTGTTATTGATTTTTCTTGACCTGCAGGCATTATAATTTTGTTTATTTATGTATGCTAATGAGTTCTAGGTTGATGCTAATTAATTGACCAATCAGCGTTCTCGGGGAGGATGCCCTGTTATGGATCTGAAGTCCCATATAGCATATAGCATATAGTTTCTGAGTTTTTGGTGGAGGCGTTTGTTTGTGAAATTTGTGCATTTATCTGTCGTTTATTAAAACTTTACATACGTTCCTACCTTCCCCTTATGGAAATACTTTTGTGAAGTGGCTTAATGATGTAATTTGTCAACCTACTTGTGATGGAGTTTACTTCGTAGCTTTTCATTGGACATTTAATCCTTCGAGGAGTGCTGAGTGCATTCGCCATTTTGGTTACGTGTGTGTTTTCACGTAGGCCTAGTTGAAAAGGGCCTCTTCCACAAGTTCTTATGGTGTGACGTATTTCCGAATTCACGCTTGGCAACGTGATTTAGTATTCTCCTTGACGTTATAAACCTTTAGCTTAGACCTATTGATTGTGTTTACGTCGTCATCGTTGTGTCAACTCCGACTAGTTATGGGACCCAAACGTAAGAACATTTGATCTGCGCCCTACAATCCTGAGCTACTAGAAAACTGGACTATCGCTAGGCTATAAGAGGAACTGCACGCCCTAAATATTCCGTTCTGCACTGGATGCAAACGTAAGAGTTTGGTGAAGAAGCTGTGCAAAGCCAGGACTGCCAGCGTCCCAGTGAGTTCAGCTAACCGTGTCGTGCCTCATCGCGACAAGATGGCGGCCCCCAGGTGAGTTTGTTACATGTTGATTCCAAGAGGTTTTATGGGGAGGGCCTAATTTTTGTACGGTAAGTGTATAAAGAGAGGTAACTCTGGTAGACGGCCGTAGTATGACCAGAGGGCACATGCGTAGCGCCAGTTGGAATAAATGTAACAATACTGACTGAATGTCGCTCGCCTTGTTCTTTACAGAACTCGTCAGCTCAGCCTGGCTGGGTACAAGTTCACGTGAACGGGAGAGCTCCAGACCTGATGATGTCAATCAGCACTTAATTGACATAGTTACGAACTTAACATAAAGTGTAGCTACACTGCAGAACTGCTACCAACGAATAGAGAGCAGGTTGGAGTCACAAACACGATGTCAAGTGGCGGCAGCCGCCGGTAGCGAGAATCAGCCCGTAGTTGACTCGTCTCAACTAGTTCCAGCAGTGATTAACTCGCCATCAGTTCAGCTGGTTCCGACAGGGGGAGTACAGATTAGAAACAGCGTATAAGCGTTTTGAGGTCAGCACACTATCTCAAGGTGAGAATTCTTGCAAACGTTCACGTTTTGGCTATGTGTCTGAATCTCTACCATTAGTAGAAACTATCTCCCGTGCTGCGTCAACAGATCATTACAGGTAGAGATGTTAACCTGGCTGCCTTGCTAATCCCATATTACGTAGGTAACTCTGATCCTGAGTGTCATTCTTCTTCAAAACCTGATTCTAGACTTTCACACACCTTGACTTTGAATGAAATTGTCTTAGCATTCGGCGTGTATCAGCAAGTGATGTGCTCTGTTCATCCTGCTAGACGTGTTGAATTTGATCTATACAAAAGAGATATAGTAGACATGGGTACCAGGTACAATGTAGGTTTTTATGAGTATCATAGACAATTTTCTGCTAGAGCCACAGCACAGCTCCGCTACAACAACACACCCATAGATTGGTCAGTTACGGACATTGTTTTATTTTGCAACATATTCACAAAACAACGACCACTCACCCGTGACTTGTGTGACAGTCCTTTGTATGGAACAGGTTTCTGTCCTGCCTCTGTATTAGAACCCAAACGTAAAAGGACCCATAGAAGAAATTCTAGGAGTTCTAAGCAGGGATCTGCTTCCCGTCCTACCGGTCCCCCTTCTGTTGACAGTCATGGGCGCCCTCGCGTGTACCACAATGGTATAGAATTGTGCAATAACTTTAAAGGGACTAAATGGTTAGATTTGGGTTTTTTTCTGTGCATTTGATTTCGGGCAAGAGTTGTAACAGTTGAAATTATCACAAAATTATTATTATTTGCTAAAATCACTGGGTATGTCTTTGTTTGCAATTGCCATTTCTAGCCTTATAATATTGATAATCCAATACTTTTTATCATTGATGTATCATTTCATAGGACAGAACTAAAAAAAATAGTTATATGTCAGATGTAGGTTTTGAGTTGTCAGTCATGTTCACTAACATGGTTTTGTATTTAAGTCAACATCAACAGCATCATCACATTCATCATCCTTAAGTCAACATGATAGGGACAGTCCAACCTGGGGAAGAGGTAGAGGTGGCCATAGCAGAGGACGTGGAGTCCGAGAGACTTGGGGAAGAGGTCAAGAGACATCAGCAAGTAGACCTCGAGGCAGAGGGCGAGGAAGGGGAAGGACTAGAGGGACACGAGCAGACAGTGCTGTTGATGCCCTTCAACAAAGGAGGCAGTCGTTAAGGGTTTGTAAGGATTTTACATTAGGAGTACAATTCCTTTGTCAAACCAATTACAATATATATAAACAGCAATGCAGGTTTTATGCTCCTAACATGAAATTGCAACCTGGGCAAGTGCTGACACTTGCCATTTATTGAGTCTTCATTGGAAGAATTTATGGAATTAAAATGTGTATACATATGTAGTATGAAAAGATGTAGGTCAAGTTATCTGGTATACTTTGTTTCTGTAATTCTTTTTTTCTCAAGTTTTCATTTTTCTACAATATCTTCATTTTCTGAAAGCTTGATATTGGGACAGGGCACTACTGAAATATGAAATGTGACATTTTTGATGAGATACAGAACTAGTTAATGTGTTGTTTATGTGCAGAAAAAAATTCAGGAAACTCAATAAATGCTCATTTTCTCTGCACTGGATAGGGGTATAGCATGGAAAGTTGATATGTAGTTGTATATTTTTTATATAAGTGTAGCAAATAACCACGTGTCACACCAACCTATACTGTATCTGATGTAAAATTAGAAATTATACAATGGGTATTACTGTATTTATTGGACATAGTTTAATAGTAATTTACTAATAATACATTTGATTTTTTTTTATATATATAGACCAGAGTTAATGAAATGGAGGCTGCAGATGCCAGGTCACTACTTTTGCGGGTAGTTGAACGCTTTCCGTCAATGGTCTTTGATCTTGTGAAAGATGTTGGAGGAGCTGGAAGTGGAGGATATCACCCACCACCCGGAGCAAATTCACCTCCTTGGTGCCTCTGTGGAAACTGCCGGGAAATGCAAACAGCGCCTGAACGCTTGTGTTGCAGGAAGGATCCAGCAAACTGCATCACCAATCTGCTGGTAAGACCTAGTTTTATGTGATATAAATTCATCCCTTCATACTTTCCAATAATTGATGAATCATTTGGTTTGGTTTGCGTTTTACCTTTTTCAATGCAATTTGACTTCTTTGATCAGTTGATGACCTAAATAAATCCTCAGGACTTTCAAGTGTTTAATTTGATTTGATTTTGTTTAATGGCCCGTCGACAGCAAAGGTCATTTTGGGCCGAACTGTTTATATAGAAGAGCAACTACATAAAACCATTTTTGTTAAAACAAAAAATAGACTCTTTGATTAAAACAAAATGTTTAAAACATGTAAAATAGTTTAAAAACCGTTAAAAAACTGAAACAAGTTCGTTATATTTGAGCGGTAGTTTTAAAAGACAGACTTCATATAACTATATTTTATCAAAAAGGCGGATTTCCTTTGTGTAATTAAGGATGGTGTCCAAGTCCACGGAAGAGAATAAGTTTTTCAAGTCTGGGACTTTCAAATGTTGGTGTTGGATGAAGTGGTTTTGGCACTAGCACGATTATACCGCCAGGATATGTTTGCATTGGCAGAAGAGGAAGACTGGAACAATATATTTTGTGGCAGCTGTGGCAGCTAAGTCGCCTAGGAACAGGTGATCGCCGTGTTATACCAAGTTGTGCCGTTTGGAAGGTATCCGGACCAATTTGGACAATACACTGGTTTTAAGGCTTCACGCTTGGCATAGTTCATTTTTTATATTGTAGATCATGAGTTCAAGAGAGACAACCCATCAAAGTTATGGACACTATCGACAAAGAGCTGTAAAGTCCATCATATTTCAACATTTCGCCAATCCCTGGAATTTTTTCGCTCTTTTCCTTCTTGGAAATGACGTTGTTTTAGACTGGTGTGAAAGAAATAGTCTCCTTCCATCACGCATGACATGTCCGAAATGCAAGTCAGAATGTCACCACAGCAAGCGAGCCAATAAAGTTGACAGCATGACGTGGATATGTAAAAATAATAAAAGCCATGAGTTTTCAAATCACAAGTTTTTCTTTTTTGAATCCTCCAAATTAGATATGAGACATCTTAGAATTTATCAGAAATTTTCTTGATGGTCACACTTTGTTTAAATGTGCTTCTCTCGCTGCAATAACAAGAAAACTGCAGTTGATTTGGCTTCTTTCATTAGGGAACTTTTTAAAGAATATGTTCATTTGGAATACCAAAATATCAAACTTGAAGGTATTGTCGAAATTGATGAGTCGTTGTTTGGCAAGAAGTGCAAGTATAACCGTGGATATCGACAAAGTGGTGTACGAGTTTGGATTGTAGGTTTAGTAGAACGAGCTTCCAACAAATTAGTTTTGTACCCAGTTTCTGATCGCACGGCAGAAACTCTGGAAACAATAATCCAAAGGCACGTGGTGGTAGGTGCCACAATTTATACTGATAGTTGGCGAGGGTATGATCATCTCAATGATTTAGGTTACAATCATTTTTCGTTGGTACACAAAATCCAATTTAAAAAATCATACAAGAACGTCGACACCGGGGAAATTGTAGAGGTCAATACAAATACTATTGAGGGCGCTTGGAAACACGCTATGGATCATTTCAGGAAGATCAACGGCACATCCATTAGCAATTTTGAAAGTCATTTATGTGAAATTCTGTGGCGCAATCATATGCGAAACGAAAACAAGTATAGTGCTTTTTTCCACCTTGTCCAGTCTGTGTTCACTTTGGACAAACCACCAGAATATTTGTATACAACACCATTGTTTGACACCTGGCTCACAGCTTCCCAAAATAATCCAAACACTACTATTTCCCGTATAGATGACGATATTGATGTATCCGGTTCTGATGATGACGGTCAGGGTGTAGTAAATCCAGTTGAGCCTGCAAAATCTACTGAAACACATTCAGCAGAATCAACAAATCGGCCAGCATCATCTGTCGCACACAAAACTCAGTCATGATCTGCAAATCATCCTCAACCCTCAACATCTATCGATTCCGGCGCACGTCCTAAAACAAAATGTCCCAAAAATTATAAACCTGTCGCTTCCAAAGTAAACTGCCGTGAAACTGGACGAAAGCAACGTACTCGGGAAGGATCAAAATTATCAACCCCAAAACATCAATATACAACGAGGAGCAAACGTGTTGTAAAAAAAACCACCAAAACAGTCCTTTTTAGAGTGGTCGTCATCCGACGATGATTTTGTAGTTTTAATAAAATGTATGTTAAATTTGAAGTATACTTCCTTATTTCTCCATTTCAATTCTGCAGCTCACATTCCGAGTGTTCGTTTTGGTTTTGTTTTTCTTTGCACGATATGTGTATTCACTCCTCCAATAACTGTTTCTAGAATGGCATGTCGTTGCACGAATTAAGGGATTAACTCTGAAGGGAGCATACCATTTGTTTCAAAAGGGAGTAGGTAAATAAAAAATCTTGGGATTTTTTTTTAAGTTAGCATAAAAGGTTAATGAAAAATCTGTAATTTACATTTTCGCTTCCGTAAAATAAGAAACCTCTTCAAGTAACAGCAGTAAACAGTTAGTTATAATGAGGAAGTTTTGTCTTTTCGTAGTGCAATGCAACGTAATATCTACACAGAATGAATGGTATGTTCCTGTGACCTTTTCTATGGTGATGTCAGAGGTCACAGGCCACCGGGTATTGCCGCGCTGGGATGCTATCAGCTAACCATGTGTAATTGCTTTATTAATTCCAGTGATGTGTAATTTCTGAGACGTTTTACTGCCAAAATTTAATTTTCGTCATCGTACAAACAAAATATTTAGACATACTACACAAATGACAGAACAGGTTCATTTCGTCTTTGATATTTATTTGGATCAGAGACGTATATAACACAGAGACAGGAAACTCCCGCAGTTCTTGTGATACCACGCACGTCCTATTTTCTTCTCGAAGGAAATGTATCGAGTGCAAGATTTGGTTGTGCGCTTGCGCTGTAAGGCGGAACTGGCTTTCCGTGTGTTTGTTTTGACAGTAATCATCACATGGTTTAGCGATAACGATGAAGGCGACGATGGTCTGGTAATTTCTTTCACGCACGAATCTGACTGTGTATTTGTCAGTTCGTGCCATCATGTCACCTCACCTTGTTACGCCGCCAAGGTCGCTTAAATCCGGGATTCTTGTTCAGTATTTTGGTCCGGACATTAGTTTTACCCACCGGAAGTGGTTTCGTTTCGATAACGTTTCGCAAACGTGTTGTCGTCTGCCAGCTACAATGTATGCATGCCAAGTGACAATGAAATGTCTGGGACGACAGTCACTTCTACCTTACGGCATCTGGGATGCTCTATACACAATCCAGAATACCACTACAGTGTATGTTTGTATGTTTGATGATTTGCCTGCTGAAAATTGTAGTGTTACATAACGCGTGGTTCTGTCTGTGTGTCGAAATGTCAGATATGTAAATTCTAATGTGATTATTTGTTATTTCTGTTTTGTAGTTGTTTACGGCTATCCATGGCAATAAAGAATAGCAAGGTTATTCGGAGTTGAAGTTATAAATTGTCGTGGAGGCGTAACAGTAAACAAACTAGGACAGTAACGATATATCGATACTACGATAAATATCTTTATTAGGGCCCACGATTCGATACACGATACATAAGGTCAGAATCGCGATACTGTTTAATGTGAAAAAAATTTGAGTTATCGCCCTTTGCGCGCTCTTCAAATGGCACATAAACGTGCGTCGGACGTATCCAAGGCTTAGATAAGTGCACCGAGAAACATGGCGAATAAAATATCGTCTGCACCAGCCGCATTCAAATCACCGGTTTGGCAACATTTTGGTTTTCCTACAGAAACTATCGACGGGAAAGAGGTAACCAATAAACAATTAGCGGCTTGTAAATTATGTGATTACAAAACGAAGTACACCGGAGCGACGACAAACCTTTCAACTCATTTAAAAAGACATCACCCTGAAGCTGACATCGAGTCTCGGACACATAAATATGCTGAGAGTAAACGAAAATCAACTAGCGAAAGCGCAACACATAATCCTAAACAATCAAAACTGAGTGAAGTGTTTTCAAGGCCACTACGTTTCAATTGTGACCGTGCAACGGCAATAAGTAGGTCAATTGCAAAATTTATTGCGATCGATTTGAGGCCATATTCAATCGTAGAAAATGCGGGATTTAAAGCGATGATCAAAACATTGGAACCGAAATATAACATTCCATCTCGACCGTACTTCAGTAAAACACTTATACCTCAGCTTTATGAAGAAACAAAATCGTCTGTTCTTGATGAACTTAAAACTGCCAGTCATGTTGCCATCACCACAGACGGCTGGACTTCACGTGCTGTCGATAGTTATATAACAATAACTGCTCATTACCTCTGTGAGCACTTTGAAAACTGGGAACTTTGTAATCGTGTATTACAAACCAGGGTAATTCATGAGTCGCATACTGCAGTTAATGTGGGTGCAGTTCTGTCTAGTGCTATTACTGAGTGGGGCTTGGCAAGATTAAATGGACAGGTACCTGTTGTTACTGACAACGCCAGTAACATGGACGGAGCTGTTAGGGCTGCTGGACTGGGGCCGAATATTAAGTGCTTTGCACACACTATTAACCTAGCTACACAAAGAGGCCTGGGCATAGGACCGATGAAAACACTTTTGGGCCGTGTAAAAAGGATTGTGGCATTTTTTCATCGCAGTTCAGTTGCTAATAGTTTGCTGAAATCCAATCAAAATCTACTAAAACTTCCTCAGCATAAACTAATTATCGACGTTCAAACGCGATGGAATAGTAGCTACGACATGATGCGAAGATATTTAGAGCAACAACCAGCAATCACTGCAACCCTTATGAGTGCTGATGTGAGAAAAAATGCTAAGGACCTTGACACACTCAGAGAAGGAGACATTACAAACCTGGAAGATGCTGTCACCATTTTAAAAGACATGAAGGACATTACAACTGTGTTGTGTGATGAAAAGCAGCCAACAGTTTCACTGATCTTTCCCATGAAACACAAAATATTAAACACTATGGAGTTGTTGGGTACAGAATCTTCATTAATAAGACAAATGAAAGTAGCAATAAGAGATGACATGAAGCCAAGGTATGAGAATCCTGAAATTGAACAATTTCTGATCATAAGTTCAGCAATGGACCCTAGGTTCAAATCCCTTCCACAGTTAAATGAAGAGAGGAGGCATGAGGTTAAAGATGCAATTATACTGAAGGCTGTATCTCAGGTTTGTTAAAATTCTCTCTCGTGAATATGTTTTACAATCTTACCAACATACTAAAAAAATCGATTTTCCAAAATATTGTATCTGTGGTTTTGATTTTTTAAAATTACAAAAAATGTTACATGTTATAAATCACTATGACTAGTAAAAATACTTCATTACCTTCTTAGTATTATGAATTTAATTTATGCAATTTCAATTTAGAATAATTAAACTCAAATAATTTTTTTCACAATTATTGTGATTACATGACAGTATTAGTACACAACAAATAAAACAAGAATTCAATACAACATTTTATTCACCATTTCATTTTATTTATCATTTCACAATAAGTAAAGTACTTCAGTACAGTACTACAGTAAGGTAAGTTTAGGGTATAACTCATAATTCAAATAATTTAAATTATAGAATTATTTATTTCATGCAATACATAAATTAAAATTATATTTTCAACATTTTCAGTTTTGACAATGTTCTGTATTAATCACAGCCTTATTTTTCTTTTACAGAGTAATGACAAGCCACACATCAAGTCTGAACCAGTTGACAGTCAACAGCCTGAGGCTTCAGAGCTACCGGCTCCTAGTCTGCCAGAACTTCCTTCTATCCCTCCACCACCTGTGTCTTCTTACTCACCTGAGCCAACTGCTTCTGGAACAGGGTCTACAATTAAGAACTTATTTGGGGATGTGTTCATAGTTAAAACTGAACCAGGAAACAAATCACCACTTGACATTGCCACTGATGAAGTACATGCCTACTTCAGAGAACCAACTATCTCACTGGACAGTAACCCATTAAAATGGTGGGCTGATAATCACTACAGATACCCACTGCTGTCGAATGTTGCTAAATATTATCTAACAGTTCCAGGTACAAGTGTCCCAAGTGAGCGTATCTTTTCTACAGCTGGGGATATTGTAACTAGCCAGCGTAGTTGTCTTGATCCAGAAGATGTTGATCATTTAATCTTCCTAAAAAAAAACTTACAGCTGTAATTATTTTGGTGCCAGATGTCAGTTATAAAGTCCTGATTTGTGAATAGACCTTTCAGCAGTGTTTTGATTTTTGAACCTATCAGACAGATTCAGACTAGTTAAAGCTGTGTTAATTTTTTGTGTTTTTTAGACATTAAAAATTGTCAAAAAAAAATGTTTTTATGTTTTTGTCATTTTTTGATAAAGCCCAAATGTATCGCGATACGTATCGTATCGTGAGAAAAAGTATCGTTACAGCCCTAAAACAAACTGTCCCCAGTATTACGATTCTCTCGCTATATACACAGGAGCGTGTGATCCGGGACCTACATTCTGCCAACGTAACCTAGTTAGTGGACGCGAGGTTCAGCGTACATGTGTGTAGGTGGACCAGTGTAGAAAAGAAAGGACTATGAAAACAGTATATGTGTTAGACTGTAGCCTACAATTCATGTTGTATTGGAAATAATATTGAAGTTTGACTATTATAATACTATTTTTTGGTACTCAAGGTGTTATGCCAGGTCAGCTTTGTTACAGTCATTGTTGCTTTCTGTAGACATTTAATGCTTACCTTTGTCATTGTTTTGATACTGTACATGTATCATATGCATATGGTATTCTGTATATGAGTAACAGTGAAATTTCTGATTGATTTACATACTTAACAATTCATTTATTTTGTGAAATAAGTATTATCCTATCAAACAATCATGATGGAGGAAAAGACATACCCTGATGATACAGCTAAGGAACCTAAAGAGGATCAATTGACTGAACATGTTACTGAAAGTGAGATTACTGTGAAAACTAGGGACACTAGAGTGTTAACATCAGATGGTCAGAGACTGTATATAGAACATCTTAAGAGACTGCTCAGGAGGATCAGATTTGGTCTCATATTGAAACCCTGTTGAGTCTAAAGGAGAAAGAGCTTGATATGAAAAGTCTCCGTAGGTATAAGGGGGATATCCAACATTCTAAACAGGAACATTTCGAGATTTCATGCAAATTGTTAGAATTTTTAGACCATACAAAAACATTAGAAAGTAAAGCTGAGTTGGGATATCAGGAGGAACGCTATAAAAGAAAGTGTGCCATGATAACTCGCGTACAACGCCAGATAGATGATGCTTTATTAGAGAAAGCAGAAACAGCATCTTTGTCACAGATACACAGCAGATCATCATCTAATGCAACATTACGCAAAAAGAAAATGGAAGTTGAGATAGAGAAAACGCGACTTGAGTTAATTAAAAGAGAAATGGACCTAGAACAGGAAAGGTTCAAAATTGAGGGTCAGTTAAAGATTTTGAAACAAAGCAAGGTAGCTGCAATAGCTGAAGCTGAAGCTCGAGCACTAGAGGAAACAGAGGGATCAGCTAGCAGTCAACATGCATTGTCGGCTCTGGGATCTATAAGCAAGACTCAGCAAGTCACAGACTACTTACGTGGTTTATCTGTTGATGATAACATAAGGAATTCAATGATGAAATTGGAGTCTCATGTTACAGATGACTCTTTATTCCATCCTTCCATTATACCTAGTCAGACTTCCCATGCTGCTGGTTATGTACCTCCACATTGGTTGCCTCACACAGACTATAGTTCTGCATTGCCAACTGTTTCACAAGTTACAGTTCCAACATCTACCCCAGCTCCTGTAACAGCTCATAAGGTATCATTTAGCCCTACGCTAACTTACTCCCACAACCCTGTGTCAACGGTACCAGGTGTGACGTCAGTTGTTGACCAACCTTTGATGGCTAACACATTGGAAGCCTCACATGCTCAGCTACCAGATCACCTGACTGCCTTTTCTAATTACTTAATAAAAAAGGAACTGATGGTTACTAGGTTTACAAATTTTAATGATGAACCAGAATCTTACAATGCTTGGAAAGTGAATTTCAAGTCAGTAGTGCGGGACCTTTCAATTTCTCCATTTGAAGAAATCCAACTCCTCGTTCGATGGCTAGGACCGGTGTCTTCAAAGTTTGCTAGTAACCTTAGACAAGCTAATGCAGACAACCCTGTAGAAGGACTGCGATTGATTTGGACCAGACTGGACGACCAATATCGAGCGGCAGAGCTTATCGACAGTTCTCTCAAAGGCAAACTAAACAGTTTCCCTTCGCTTGGTGTTAAGGATAACAAAAGGCTATTTGAGTTGGTAGATATTTTAAGCCAGATTGATAGTGTGAAAAGGAACCCGAAATATTCTACAATGCTTTCTTACTATGACTCTTCTGTTGGTATACTACCCATAGTCAGCAAGCTACCACACCAATGAAAAGTGGACAAACATGGCATCAGACTTCAAGACAAAGAATTGTGTGCCGTATCCACCATTTAGTATTTTCGTTCAATTTGTTCAACACTAAAGCCGTGTTCGCAATGATCCAGGATTTCAGTATCAAGATAACTATCCAAAGAAAAATGTAGTGAAACCAATTCACGTGAAGAAAACAGATGTAGATCCTGCAAAGAAGGTGACCCAGGATACCAAGGACATCAAGAAATGTCCTTTGCACGACGATCAGTTTCACAGTTTGAAGCGATGTCGGAAGTTTCAATTACTACCGATCGCAGAAAGAAAAAAGGTTCTAAAGGAACATCGTCTATGTTATCGCTGTTGTGATGCCAGTCATCTAGCTAGAAACTGCAAAGTAAAGTTGACATGTGAAATTTGCTCAGACGGAAATCACCATACAGCACTTCATCCCACACAAAATGATGGCGGGGAGAAATCTAAAGTACAGAAGACTGAGACTGTTTTTGACAACATGTGTACTTTGGTTTGTGGTGATAATTTTCCTGGAAAATCCTGTGCGAAGACTCTCTTAGTTAATGTTTATCCTGTTGGATGTAAACATCAGTCAAGAAGATTGTATGATATTCTCGATGACCAGAGTAGCCAGACGCTAGCGAGACCAGGATTTTTTGACATGTTTGGTGTTAATGATGGAACAATTACGTACAACTTGTCATCCTGTAGTGGCACAGTATCTATGATGGGTAGGTCTGGATCAAACCTTGTAGTGGAGCCTGTTGGTAGTGGACGAGCTATCACTTTATCACGAGTAATTGAGTGTGAGGAAATTCCGAACAGTAAAGAAGAAATTCCTTCACCGAAGATAGCACGAGCCTATCCGCACTTAGTGGATATCGCTGAAGAAATTCCAGAAATTGACGGAAATGCTGAGATTCTATTGCTGATTGGTCGTGATCACGCTGATGCTCATCATGTGTTGTCACAGAAAACTGGACCACGTGGATCTCCGTTTGCTCAGAAGCTTCCATTTGGCTGGGCCATTATCGGGGAATGCTGCTTGGGGAAAGTTCACCAACCTGGAACCGTAGTTGCAAACAAGACACACATCTTACCGTCTGGTCAAGGTACAATCTTTCCACCTTGCCCGACTCATCGTAACGTTACTGAAATTCGTTATGAAATGGACAGAGGCTTTGGCAAAGATACCATCTTTGAGCGTAAGTGTGAAGACAATCAGCCAGGTTTATCCGTTGAAGATCGCGAGTTCCTCCAGATCATGGATGTTGAGTGTTACAGAGATAAAGACGGTCATTGGACAGCGCCATTACCATTCAGGAAAGACAGGTATCGATTACCTAATAATCGTGACCAAGCTGTAAAGAGGATGCAATCACTTATTTCTTCCTTCAAGAAAAATCCTATCAAGCAAGACCACGCGATAGCCTTTTTGCAACGTATGCTGAAAAATGGACATGCTGAAAAGGCCCCACTTCTAGAGGACAGAGAGGAATGCTGGTTTTTACCAATATTTGGTGTCTACCATCCCCGCAAACCAGCCCAGATCCGTATGGTATTTGACGCCTCAGCCTCTTTCGAAGGAATGTCGCTCAATTCCACTCTGTTACCTGGACCGAACATGATGAACAGTTTAATGGGAATTCTATTAAGATTTCGTAAGGAGCGTGTTGCCGTCATAGGTGACATTGAGCAGATGTTTCATGCCTTCAGGATCCGAAAGGACCATAGGAACTTTGTACGCTTTGTCTGGTTTGAGGACAATGATTCTCAGAAACCCATGACGGACTACCGAATGTGTGTCCATTTATTTGGAAATTCCCCATCTCCAGCAGTGGTAACATACTGCCTAAGAAAGTGTGTCAGTGAGGTATCATGTGATACAGATATTTTTGACTTTGTTACCCGCAACTTTTATGTGGACGATGGTTTGGCTTCATTCTCTACGGCAGAAGAGGCTCTAGATGTTCTTGCACGCACTCAGGCAACGCTCATGGCACAAGGAAAGCTAAGGTTTCACAAATTTGCCTCCAATGATCAGGATGTTATAGATGCAATCCTGCCTACTGACAGAGCTAAGGATCTCAGTGAAGTAGACCTTGATCTTAGTTCTGCTCCAACTCAGCGTAGCCTTGGTCTCAATTGGAATCTTCAGTCAGACTGTTTCACATTCCAATTCTCGCCTAAGGATGTTCCCGTAACAAAACGTGGGATACTCTCGTGTTTGAACAGACTGTATGATCCTCTGGGATTCATATCTCCGGTGATTCTTCAGGGAAGATTCATCTTTCGTGACATTGTCAATACAACCACTGGATGGGACGAAGTCGTTCCTCAAGAAATAGAAGCCAGATGGAGAAACTGGTGTTGTTCTCTCTATCACCTGTCAGATGTGAAAATACCAAGACCATTTGATAGAGTCGAGTTGCACTTGTTTTCAGATGCCTCCGAGAAGGCTATCACAGCAGTTGCGATACCTTAGTTGGATTCGCGTTAGGAAAGTCGAAACTAGCTCCTCATCATGGCCATACGATGCCACGCTTAGAACTTTGTGCAACAGTGCTAGCTACGGAAGTTTCCACAATTATTACCAAAGAATAGGATCTGAATATGGATGAAGTGAAATTCTACACAGATAGCCGGGTGGTACTTGATTATCTCTACAACAGGACTAAGCGCTTCCACACCTACGTATCAAATCGTGTCCATCGGATTTATTTGGTATCTTGTG